TGCCCACAGTTGAGGAGTCTGGATGGAAAGCTTGCATCTGGACCTCGCTTGTGGTCTTGACTGATTTAAGGGAAGTTCAGCATAGTTACCATGCACAGGGCTCCATCCAGAGGGAAGCTCCTGCCCAAGAGAGATAATGTGTTATTCCAACCTGGTAACAGATCATCAAGAGGCTGTTTTGCATATTAACCACTAATTCTCCTTGCTGGATGCAAAGCTTCTCACCCAACTCAGAAGGATCAGTTAAGGATCCATGGAAACATAACTATGTGCTCCTATTCAGGACTGCTCTTAGTGCACAAAGTAATTCATGGACATGCAGAGAAAATGTAAACAAAAAGTTTACAGTTACCAAACAATCTTCAGATATACTCTGAGATAGATTGTGAATTCCCTTCTTTATCATCCTGGCTGATTAAAAGAGAAAAACAGCCCTTAGGTAATATCTGTTACATAAAGCCATTGGTGGTCATGCTGATCATGTAATGGGAAAGGCACAAAGTTCCCTCCCCACGTCATTCCACAAGAACTTTCTCTGGAAAAAAGGGGGAGAAAATAAAGCAATTCCAAAATTGTACCCCAGTTTCTGCCTACTAATAGTTAACATGGTCCTGTAGGAAAAGAGCAAGCCATAAGTAGTGGTGGGCTCCAACAGCAGTTCCTTTCCTGGAAGATGCTGTGCAGAATCAGAAAGATTAGATGCCCTCTGTTGCTGTCCTAGCAGCTTTCGCCATTCTCTGCTGCTTTTGATAAATCATTTATTAGAACAGCGTTTTTACATAATCCCTGGGGGGGAAAAAAAGGGAAAAAGAAAAAAAAAAACACCAATATCCCCCCCATAAAGTAGATTTATCATGAAATGCTGTCCTCCTACCAGCTGTCTTCAGACCAGAACATATATTTCTCTGATTATTAATTAACTGATGCACAGAAAGAGCTTCAAGCTTTTTAACCTCTCCCTTTCTCTTTTGTCCTTCAAGCATGTAGATGGCAATGCAGGGGTGGTGTTCAAAACACAGAAAGCAACTGTAATACTGCCATCATGTTTTGAGCCCACAGGCTCAAATAATAAAGCCATTTAGGATCTGAGTATTTAAGTTATTTCCCTAGTACAAACATTCTAACCCATGTCATACATGCTCAAATCTGCCATAGTACCATGAATCCTGCTGACACAGATGAGGAGAAACAGAGATTGTTGACTGCCAATACTGCATGTAACAAGACAAAAAGAGGCAAATCTGCCAGTAGGTGTCTGACCTGAGAAGAGAAAGGAATTTGCTGTTGTTAGCCCAACATCCTGTCTCTCTGCCTATCCTTTATCCATGTAAAGTCTCAAATCTCAGGATAAGCCATAGCTTTCTTTCTCCTTGGAGTTCATCCAAATACCTTCCACAATATGAAACACAGCTACTTATAAACAATAGGAAAGGGGGAGACTTGGATGCACCAGCAAGTTCTGAGCACATCAAGGGCCCTAAAAACGAAAACAGTGAAATGAAGCTAGAGTAATTAGCTGTTGTGTCCCCAGAATATGATCACAAAGAAAACACACAGTTATTGGCACTTGCCCATTTCTTTCCACAGGTTTCGAATCCCAGTTCCTCTACTCTCTGCATCCAGCCAGAGGAGATTTTTATATTGTATCATTGAATACCAGAACAACTAAGGAGAAAAAAATCCTGTCCAAATCTGTAGGCAACTAATACCAGAATCAGAGTACAACTCCCAGCTTCATTATCTGGTCTAAATGAAATATAGTGAGCAAATGCACTTCTGATCTCTCTTATTAGTCCCATTTGTTAAAATGCTGTATTATTTACAGCTTTGCACTGAATGAGGAAGTGGGCTAAGAATTCCATCTCAAAAGCTAAGTGATGATAAAAACTGGTATAGCTTCATGAGCTTATCTCACAGCAAGGTTTTTGCAGAGGCACAACTATATTAGCACCCCAGCACAAGGGCTTATCATCCCTCAAAAGTCTAGTCTTGGCAAAAGTAGAGAAATAATAATCTTCTGTCATAGTGGGCAGCATTTCTGGAGGGGTTTGATTCAGCAAGTAGCATCACTCTGGGGAGTGACCCACCCAAGCGTTTAGACAGTTCACATTCTACCTTGAGATGTCACTCCTAACTTATGGAAGCAGGTAGATCCCACAGCAGAGGTTCCTTGATTTAAGCTGGGTGCCTGCCTTCACTGCAGCCAGGACTGCTCCCTGACCAGTGACTCCTTTGAGCACAGCTAAGGCTGTCCTGATAGAAGAGAGAATTCCTGCCCTACCCTCCACTGGCTGCGCTGGCAGGGCCTCCACTGATTACTTCAGGGTCCTAAAGCGTCTTGTTCACAAAAGGGTGGGTGTGCAGGCACAATCTACGCGTGCACATGTAGGCAATAGGAGGGACATCCCAAAAGGGCCTTTAGCAAGAGTAGGAATCAAAGTTCCCAGGCAAGGTGTGTTCTCTAAAGGCATGAGCTAAACCATCCAGCTGCAGCCAACTCAACTTTGATATTGGATTGCTGTGTGTATATCAGTAAAGTAAACATACCTGGCACTTCTCCCTAGCACTGGGGACAGCTGGCACAAAATGGCCTACACCCAAATCATTAAATTCTCTCAATTTCCAGAACATCATGGACACATCCAAGTAAACCACTGAACACAGCCTGTCTTCTCTACTAAAACTCACACTTTGTCCAGGAATTGTTTGATGTTAAAAATTAGTCAAAAAAACACCTCAGCACTACAGATTATTAGGTACCAGTTTCTCTGAACTTCCCTGGAACAGCTTTAGTCTACTGTTTTAGGTGTAACTAATATGTGTTGACCAGGAATATCAGCAAACCAGATGTGATTTTTAAAAAGAAAAGGGTTTCTTTACGTCCTGTATTCAAGGATATCATACCTTCTATCATATTGACAACATATTTAAGGTTGAAGCTCAAGTAAGGCATCCCCAAGGTAGTTTCCAGAAGTATTTTATGTCTGAATGTACTTGGATGAAACCAGAAAGTATTTGGTTTATTCCATTGCTGAAAGTGAATCATGGGACTTTGTTGATAGGTTATTCAAGTAGTCGAATGCAAACCAGTAACATTACCAGGCATTACTGCCTAAAAAGTGAGGGCAAGAGCAGATCCATTGCTATTGAATAAAACCACAGCTCATCACTCATTACAGCCCTCCAGTTTTCTTTGATGATTGCTGTGGGGCTTGGGAGTACTTTCTGTCTGTTCGCCTTCAGAGCTGCAGTGTTGGTACCTCCTCATCCAGGAAAACTGTGAGGACAGCCAATTTACTTAGAGCCTTGGCTTCAAGAGGGGAGGACAAAGAAGGTTCCCTATTTATTCCACTGGCCTCCCTTTTAAAACCCCATAGGTTTTTTTCCTCATGTCCCACACTCGGCAAATCTGTTGTCTCACTTTGAGGGACACAGACCATGGGGTTTCATGGCCTGCCATGAAGTTACATTATTAGCCAAGGTCAGGGAGCACAGCTAATGCAGGGGTAAGAAGGTGCCTTTGCACACACAGCTCTGTGTCTTTTTCAGATGCACAACACCCTCTGTCACCTGTGAGAATAACTTCAGAGGAGGAGCCAGAGCAGGCAGGAGGGGCAGCAGACTGAATCCTCAGCACAGCCCAAGGCTGTAAGCCAGGCCTGGTTCTGCTCTCAGGAGCAGGTGTATACCTGGCAGCAAATGCTCAGCATTAGCTTTTTGAGGGGCTTGCAAAAACCATCTCTTCGTTTCAGCCTGTCGGTTGAGCAGCACCAGGCTCCTAGGGTTGATTTGTGCTGCCAGAGCCTTGCAGGGGTGGGCAAACAGATGGCTTTGTCTGGAGAGCAGGTTGGTCCAGGCTAGTCTCACCCAAGGTTTGTGCTCAGAAATGTTGTTGGCACACAGGGACATTTCTGGCAAGAGGAGCAGAGGCAATGTTTGTACAATGTGATGGCCCCCTGCCTCACTGATATCTCAGACCCATGGTTGCTCCAGCTACAGCCATAAACAGCATAGGGAAACAAGGCCTTTTTTTGGCTCTAACATGAGAAAAAAATTAAAAATATAAATAAACTTTAGAAACAAAACCAGAAAAAAAAGTAAAGAACCAAAAGCTCTCCCCAGAGCTGAATGCATTAGAATGCTTTAGCTCAGTACATCCTGTGTGGTTGACCTATATTATTTCATCAGATTGTTAGCAAGCAAATGGAGACAAAGAATGTCTTAGGTGACTCATACATACAACATTCGGTCACTACAGTTGTTTCTAGTGCTGGATGTGCTCCATGGTTGATTGGGAGATTTGCTGGCAAAAATTGAAATTCCATAGGGAAACCATGTTAGGAAAACACTTGTGTTCATCTCTCAGCTGCAGAGTAACATGGAGTTCGCAGAAATTGCCAGTGATTAAAGCTCTTCATATTGCTTGGCTGGCCAGCAATCAAACCATTCATGCTGATTAATACAATAATGAAGAATTTATTAAATTCACATTTTGCTTATATTGCCATAATGAGGAGGTAGCAGTAGGTGTGTCAGGTTCCCCTCATCATTAGTATTGGAAGGCAAAGAAAAGGTAATGATGGGAAGTTAAGGAAGGTTTAGAGGATTACCCAAGTCACAATGGAGGGAGATAGAGGAAGACAGAGTGCCTTGAGACCATGCATTACATCTGCTGACTCCCAGCTCAAAGGTGACCCAAATCTTGTGGCACCAACATCTGGATCCCTGTGCTCCACATAGTCTAGTGTTCAGGCTGGCACTGAGACCAGGCACTGTGTCCTGGGACACTGATCTGTAACAACACCTCCTATCCTTTGTCCCACATTGGCAACCATCCTGTCCTCACTCTCCTGCCCACCTGCCCACCCTCCTTCCTGCTCACTTCCCCCCTCTCAGTGCCCTCACCCCCTTCCCATGTTCATTCTCAGTGGTCGTTGCATGTACGTGCCTTGGCACCCTTCAGCTCGTTAAGTCCCATGCCTTGCCTCATGTTTTGACAGGTTTTGTGAGTTTTGACAATCCTGCCAGTGCCCAAGCTGCTATCCAGGCCATGAATGGATTCCAGATTGGCATGAAGAGGCTGAAGGTGCAGCTGAAGAGGCCAAAGGATGCTAATCGTCCCTACTGAAGGGTTGTGGGAACCACTGGATACAAAGCACTAGCACAGGTAACTGCATGGGGAAGGGGGTGTCAGCTACACCTGTAGCGTCTCTCTGTGTTGTAGACCCTCGAGGAGATTCAGCTCTGTGACTCTCTATCTTCTGCCTTTTTGACTCTGGCTAGAGCCACTCTGCTCAGACACGCACCCGCGCATAAACCAGGGACTGTTTGTGTGTGTGTCTCTCTAGAAAAAGAGGTGGAAGGATGCTTAACAAGGGATAAGACAACTTCCTCATCCCAGGGGCATCCTGCATCTCTAGAAAGTGTTTCTGGTCACTAGAGGAGAGTCAGCAGCTGTCCTGATTCCCCCTGCTCAGTGAAAGAGAGCATTTCTGGTGCTTGAAGACAATCTGCAATTGAGAGGTGGGACTGGGCTGCGGTTTGATCCCAGGTGACTGGACTGGGACAGTGTCTGTCTCAATAGCTCTGTGTTGCAAACGTTTCAAAGCATTCTTCATTCTCCATGCGGTACAGTCTGTATCCAATTCCATCTCAGCATAATAACTTAATGTAAATATGTCTCTCTGACAACCAAACAACCCCAGATTTATTTCGTCACAAACCCAAGAAATTAATAGACGGATCCATGTTCACTTCTTGGTCAGTTGTTTTAAACTCCTGTGTGTAGATAAAACCCCACCAAAACCAAGGGAGGTTAGCTGCAGTAAGGACCTGGGGTCTCGTTTTTAGACTCATGTGCCATGTATTGCTGGAAAAAAGCCAGCTGGATGTTTCAAGGGAACTTCTAATACACGTAACAACACCAAAAATATCAGAAGCCACAGCTTGTTTCATTGGAAAAAAAATCCAAACACATCACCAGTAACAAAAATGAAGATGTTTCCAAAAATGGAAATATTTTCCACCACTGGCTGGCTCTTTCATTAGGTAATTCTTTGAGAAACAGAAATATAAACCCCTATGTGTTTGTTTACAGAGACAGGAAGTCCTCCTGTTGTTAAAACTGTTCCACACCAGAGATTCCCCAATAAACTCAGCACCTAGGGAGGCCCTAAGCAATTTGTACTCCTGAATTAGTGACAAAGAGATTGGTTAGGTGACCTTTCCATGTCATTTTAGCTGTAATGTCTAAGATTCTGTGATTTTTATTCAGGCCTCTTTTGATTTATCTAACATAGGCAGTAAATCCCTATCTTCAACTTTCCCAAAGAAAAACAGAGTATTTTAATTTTTCACTGGGATCCCAAATATCTTTGAAAATACATATTTTTCCAGTCTTCAGAGCAGTATCCTTTCCAGTGAGAATTCAGGAATGGGATCAAAATATCTTTGAAAGAGGTGCTGCACTGAAGACAGCATAAAGGAGATTAAGAAACCTTTCAATAAACATATTAGGTGCATGTGCAGGAAGCAGGCTCCATAGTTTAGAACCTCCTTTATATGTGACTATACGAAGATAACCATCAATGCATTTTCCCCCTTCAAAAACCTCTTTTCTTTTCCTTGCTTATGAAAAGGCCTCTTGGAAGCTTGAAACCAAAACATGTTGCCATATCCAAATGCTTTTTGCTTCATCACACTGGCTTTTTTATTTTCTGCAGGCTTTGCTGGGAGAGGGCTGGGGGTGCATGCGTGCAGCTGTGTGAAAGCAGGGGCTGCCTTGGTCAGGGAGGCTTTCTGTGACACCCGCACAGGGATCCAGGGACACAGAGGTGTCCCTAGGGAGGCACAGGCTCTGTGTCCCAGCATAGCTGTGCTGGCTGAGGATGTGCTTGTTTCTCATGGTGGTGTCAGAAGATGCAGGGCTGTGGATATCTGTGCTGTTCGAGATTCACCAGTGTGAGCCTACAGTGGTTTTTATCATCATGGCTCGCCATGACGTGCTCTGAGGTTTCAGCTTGTTTCCTACAGAATATTAATCACTAGTCGGACAAAGATTAGTTGCTTGGGTGTTTTTTCTTCCCCCCAAAAAATTTAATTTAAATTATATAAAAAGGAATCAGCAGGTAAAAGAGAAATATAGTTCCATGTGTAGCTCTTAAGCATTTTTTTCCTCTCCTTTGCTTCTAATAGGCAGAACAGTCTTGAAGAGTTGCCTCTAGGTAGGAAGCCCTTTAGCCTTCCTGGCTTTTATTTCAGCTTTAGTACTCTGCTGTCCAGAAAAATCAGTTTTACCACCAGATCACTTCCACCCTAGGCTTAGAGAACCTTGTTTAGAGGCTTGTGTAGAGACCCTACCAAAATGTATCTCAGAGGTCCTTGTTCTCTGGCCTTGCTGGGCCTGTTGCAGGAGCTGTAGCCAACTTCTAGCAGAAAGGAATTCTCCAGGAAAAAAAGTTTTATACATGTGTTTTTCCCCCTGATAGAAGGAATTAAGCAGGAGTGTATCAGGTGGGACTCCACCTGGTAGAAGGAATTGAACAGGAGTGCATGTGGTCCCAGGAGGACACTGCAGGAACATTCCCCGGGGAAGCATTTGGGTTAGCACAGGGAGAACCATGCTGCAGTAGGCTGGAGAGGACACTTGGGGACAGCCAGGACACCCAGAAGGTCACATGGTCCTAAACCCAGGTCTTTCTCCAGCTCCTCTTCCTCCCAGGGATTGGGAACACTGATGCCAGCCCTCTGGAACAGGCAGGATCCTCGGTCAGCAAGGCCACAGGGCAGATCTCCCACCAGGGCTGGGCAGCAGTGATCAGCAGAGGGCTGAGCCCCCAGGAATAAGCCTGACTCAGAGACAGGTCAGCTGCTCTTGGCTAAGCACAGTATTACTGCACCTCCACTGCTGGCTCGATTTGCAGCTTCCTTTAACTGATAGAAAGATAATAACTCCACCGTGCTTTTTATCTGTCTTTACTTTGGATGCAGCTCTTCAGGGTCTTTAATTCCAATTTGAAGCATGTGTGTAATGGTATTGACACCAGAGTAATTACTCATGTGCTTCAAGAGGATGCTCAAGAAACTTTTTAATTGGGATTTTTCCAAGGAAGGGCTTTTTTCTATTGAATTGCTTTCAAAAAATAAGAAGTTGCCAATGACAACAACAAAAAAATCAGCACCCAGTTTGATATAATCCACCAGAGTGGTTTTTTCCTAACTGAGAAAGAAAGGGCCTCACTAAATTTTAATTCTGGATGCTCTTTTTTTAAAAAAACTTATAAATCTCCCTTTTGGGACTCAAGAAGTCAAGGCCACAGTGATTTGAAGTCCTTTGTTTTCTTTGCAAGCGCTCTAAACTTGCTGTCAAACACTGAAAGGGTTTCTGTGATGTGGCAGATAAGTCCAAAGCTGCAGCAAGCAAAGCCCTGAAGAATTCAGATGGCAAAATGGCTGCCCCTGTTCTCTTTTTTCTTTATAATTAAAGAGGTGTCTGTAGGGGGGAAATAAGGATGGGAGGAATGATGGGCTGGGAGAAAGCAAAAGAGAGGAGGAACATTTGAGGCAACTCTGCCAAAATCAGTATATTCTATTGCCAATCCCCCCTTGGGACTAGGAAGCAAGGACTCTGAGACACTTCATGTGTCTTTCAGATAGAAAATGCACAAAATAATTAAGAAAACACCAACCTGAAGCCCACATCTCCCTTAGGTCCCATTGCTGGGAGCCCTTCCATGCCCTGTGCTGTGCCTGGGGCTGTGTGTGAGCTCAGCACTGCCCAAAATCTGCTCAGCTCAGAGCCCCTCCAGAGCCCAGGGCAGGGCACACAGCAGCCCAGGAGCACCCAGCTGACAGATCAACAAAAGGCACAGCACACAGCAGCCCTGGAAATCCCATCCATTCCCCTCCTGCGGCTTCATTGCAGTGGCTGGTCACCGGCAAAGTGATGTTTTCCACCTCAGACAGACAGACAGACAGACATTCTGCTGCTGAAGTTTATTTAAAGCCAAAGATGCAGAGACATTTGGGTGAGACTAACCCAGAGCACTGAGTTAGTGAGGCAAAGTGAGTGTGAGTGAGACAAACTGAGTGAGGCAAAAGGGAAACAGAAAAGTGAAAGACAAAGTAGAAATAAGATCAACCTCAAGATTCTTCTAGCTGTGCTCCAGAGTAGAGACAAAACATTAAATGGATACACTGCCCAGGAAACCTGTTTCTATAAAACACCAGGGGAAATAACACAGGCCAAAGCTCAAATATGAAAATAAAAAAAAGATTTTTCAGGTCGTCCTTCGCTGCTTTTTGAACATGGATTTATATCTGGTTTATTGTGAAATGTGTGAAATACATATTTTTGCAGCTATCTGGAATTGGTGGTATTTTTACTCTGAGAATGGGGGGTTTTTGGGTTTTTTTGTTTGTTTGTTTTTTGGGTTTTTTTGGTTGGTTTTTCTTTTTTAATTGGAGTGTATATTTGCTAAACTGGAAAACTTTGCATTTTTCTCTTTTTGATCCCTAATAAGAAAAAAAAAAAAATAAAAGCAACCCAAACTCCGTTTTAAGGTAAAATTATACTATCAGCCAAAAGTAAAACAAAAAAGCAAAATTCCAAAATGCCAAAACAAAAATATGTGAGAGAAGAACTTCTGTCTTCTCTTGTCATTTCAGGTGGCTTCAATGCAAAGTCTGGTGAAAGTGTATTTTTTCCTGAAATTTTTGTTGCCTCTGCCTCCCAGATAGCTTTCTATTACTTCTAGTGAGAGGCTATTCTGCAGCTGCATTGATCTCACTGTTTTCTATTAGGCTATTCATCTTGAGATTCATTCCAAATACCCTTTTTCAAGATAAAATCCCATTTCTTGTAGTTATGCCTCCTACAATCACGCTAACCAGCTTCTCTTCCACCTGCACAGATTATTGTTGTTTCCCTCTTTTAGTCATCACTTAGATCATTTAAGACTTGCTTACATTATGGAAATTTGCACTAGTATAATTGCATCAAAACAGTACTCCAGCACAAGCTTTAATATGAGTGAATAAAGAGAGAAAAAAAATCAGCACAGCTTAATTTTGGAAAGTCTGTTCAGGTACTGGAAAAACATCACCTCAGCCAATATTTTTTTCTGTTCTTTGGATTGCTTTTTTTTTTCATTTCCACTGACACCTGTG